CTGGGCCTCCCTTCTTAAGCTGCTGCTCCCTGCGACCCGACTCCAGAAAGGCGGAAGAAAATGGATGGATTGATGGATGGATGGATGGATGGATGGCTCCTCTGTTTCTTCATGTTACAGGCACCTATGTTTAATATTTTTAAAATGTATCACTGTGAAAATGACCTTGTGTTTTCTGTTTGTTGTTTTTTCCTGGAGAAAACACGATTACATGAAAAGCATTCACTCCAGCAAGCTTTTATGAAGAGATGTAAAGTAACTAAGTACAAATACTTTGTTACTGTACTTAAGTAGACATTTTGGTTATCTGTGCTTTACTTGAGTAATTATTTTTCAGCCTATTTCTACTCCTTACATTTTTAAACAAGGTAAGAARTAGAAAGTCAGTACTCCTATTTCATTTTGGCTCATTATTGTTAAAAATATCCTGATAAATTGTGCCTCCTGGAAAGAGTGAAATTAATTGTAGTTGGATGAGAAGTATATTCTGACACCAAATTGTACACAATCCATCACAGTTGCACACCTTCAGAAAAAAAATGTTTGTTTTTTAAGTTCACCTCCCAATAAATGTCCTTTTGGAAAATCTTAACTGCTCATTTTTACTCAATACTTTTACTTTTAATACTTAAGTGCAAAAAAACTCTGATACTTTAAGACTTCTACTCAAGTAATATTCTTGGAGGAGACTAACTTGTACCAAAGTAATTTCATGATAAGATACTTGTACTTTTCACTTATCACTTTGAGGTACTTTATACGACACTGCTTTTATGTAAAAGCAAAACAAACATTGAGTTCAGGTCAGAACTTACCCGTAGGGTTTCCTCTCATGTCCTCCAGCCTGTCCTGAATGTGTGAAATCTGTCTGTCCAGATGTCCATTTAGCTCCACTTGTGTCTCATATCTCGTCTTCCATTCATTCCCTGATGCCAAACACAACCAAAACCACAAAAAGCAGAGCTGACAACCAGCTAAACGCTTTTTTTAAAGTGCTAACAGTTTACAAACATCTTCCCACCTTGTTCATCGACACTGAACAGTCTTTCTTGTAGTTCTTTTATAGTTCTCCTCAAATCACACACTGACTCTTCAAGCATTTCTCTGCAACCCGAAAACATGACTTAGCAGTTGTGCAAAAACTTTTTAAGTTTAAACATATATATTAGTTAAAATCAACTAACTTCATCTCTTTTTCTTCTTCGAGTTCTGCCCGTAGCCGCGACAAATCAAATCTGCTGTCTTCTTTAGCCATCATCCAAAAATGTTACTGAAGACAGGTTTGTTGTCCAGGGTTTCCATGGTCGCCGCCACTTCCTGTTTGTGAAGGGGTCGCCTCCACCAAAATAAAATAAAATAAAATAAAAAATAAAATTTGTATTAATTGTTAATTACACTGCCTTTTGCCACAAATAGGTTTTTTCAGCTTAATTTTGTTGAACAAATTTTCTTTTATTGCCTACTTAACAGTTTTTATAGTGGGGTAGGTGGTATGTATGGTGGCACATCATTTCGTTTTGTTTCATCTACATCCATGCATTATGATAGGGACAGCTGGAAACTGGGACTTGTAAATACAATACAGACAGACAGAAAGGTAGATAAATTAACTGTATAAATTACACCAGAACAGAATATAATTGGTAATAAGGTTTATTCAACACAACAGAAACAACGCAGAATTTAAAATTCAAAAAGATTAACAACTTTATTAAATTTTACATGATTAGGAAGTGAGACCTAAAAGAAAAGCCTTATCATCCTGCAGAAACCTATTCTTTCCTCTTTTCCTCTTCTTTCTTCTGCACATCCCCTCTCTCAGTCTGTGACTGCCGTTAATCCCTTCGCAACTTTTTCTCTTCAGTTTCTGCGAGCTCTTCTTCGGTAGTCCCTGCCCTGGTCTTCACTGAATTTCTGCCAGCCGCCTTTAGGAAGGCTTTAATGCCCAGATTGTCAAGATTGTGTGCTGCCATACCGATGTTGCCCACTGATGTCAGAGCAGTGTTCGTAGCTTCGCCTGCATCATCGCCATACCTTTTGCCACAGATAATTTGGTAGAGTTAGAGAGGAGTGGTGGTAGGGGGGAAAATTGTCAAAACACTTGAACAAATRAATAAAACTAATTCTATTAAAGTTATATAAAGAGCCTAAACAAAGGAAACTTTGGCACCCAACACAAGCTGGCATTYAGCACAAACAAATTCAGAAACAGCAAACAGCAGAGGCTCTGAAGTATGAAGCATGTATAAACTACAGTAATCTGTGTATTCACACAGGGAGGCATTCAGAAGAAAAGCCTTGGAGCCTGACACACCAGCTATGCACATAAAAGTAAAGAAAACACACTTCAGATTGATTTAAATGTAAAATACATGAAATTAGACTGCTTGTGTAAACAAGGTTTTAAAAGAAAGCCACAAGTAAACAAAAGTAAGTTTCATATCTTTTTTTAAGTTGAGTTTGTGTTATTTTTTTAAAAACTTGGTTTGGGTAAAAGTGTATACAAGACAGATTTTAGCAGGAGTTGTTAGTTCAGAAGCCACAAGCCTTTACTCCCCCAAGAAGTCAAATGTTGCTGGACACATTTAAAAGGTTCTCTAAGCCCCTAAATCTGAAAAGAGACAGGAGTGAAAACAGGTCAGAGCACCAACATACCATGAAGAAAGGGAAATAATGAGCAACAGAGTGAGAAAACTGTCAAAGTTTCACAATATGAATCAGTGTCATAATAGGAAATATGTGAACTCACTTGTACTTCACTGTTGTGACAGTCTCAGCTGCAACACTTTTGCAGACATCCTTTGCCCCGGCTTCCAGACTTGACCAGACAGTACAGAAACCTACATTTGAAAAATGATCAAATTAAAAGTCATCTGAAAACAACAACAATTTACTGTATCTTAAGACAAACAATTCCAAACCTGAGCTCATTTTTAGAATGTGAGTACACACCTTGTACGCTGCTGACTGCTACAAACTTGGCTCCATCAAAGTTGGAGGCCTGGCCATCTTGGCTCTTCTTCAGAGACWGTGGAACCAGTTTAGGACCATGCTTCTTCAAATGGGGCGCCATCTTGTCTGCTACATGTCCTGCAATCATGCTCATGCCACTCACTGTGGATACAGAGTTGTACAACAGAAACAAAACTTGTTAAATATGCTTTAAAAAGTGGATGATTCATTACTGGAAAAATCTAATTTTGTTTTTACTTTGTTAAATTGTTTAAAGATTTCGATTAGTGTTCTTACCTAAGAACTTGGTGACCCGGACAGCGCCCCCAGTAGCCTGCTGAGTCGCATTTAGACCTTGGGTGACCTTCGGGCTGACCACTGAGGGGGTTTCCTCTGGTGTGATTTGGTCCCGGATCTTGACTGCTCCTTGCTGAATGGCCCTCCCTGTCGCCTCCGCTCCTTTGGTGAATGACTCACTCAGCCGTGTCGCTCCTACAGAAAAACGTCAATTACTTATGGCCTCAGTTTAAGAAATTAACTGAGCTCGTTTTAACGCAAACTCACCCGACAAGATTCCTTGAGCCATCTTCTCACTCCATCCAGGCAACGGTGCTTTTTCCGTCTCCGCTGCTGATGCTGTTTGTTCGTTCAGGGGACCGAGGGGGACTTTTGTTGCCAAGTTCGTGACCTCTAATTCTGTACCTTCTGTGTCCTGTGATCATGAGAAGAAATATATAAAACTTTGAAAGCAGAATGACTTGTAAAATATATAAACAATCACATATATTAAAGGGATCCATGATTAGTTGTAACATTAGACTTTATTATTTGATAAACATATTTTAACTGTAAAATAAAGACTGTAAAAATACTGTAAGCTGTTTAGTTTTTATCATTTTTAAACTAAAAGTTTAAAAATATATCACACGGACGGGGCCATTTTATTTACATGCAAAGCATTCTGGGTAAATGATGACATAGATAAGTCCTCGGTGTGAGCGAGCTATATCCACCCTGAAGGTTAATCTTGGACAATATCTGACGATCGACTCTTTTAAATGAAACCAGAGAGCGTTGACAGAGAGGAGAAGGTAGAAATGACTAACCTGTAACTGAAAATATGGATGGAGGACAACAGAGCTGCTTCATGGAAGAAGAACCTCAGTTTAGCCTGTTAGCTTTAGCATTAGCCCCGATGCTATCACCATAAATATGTATTACCTCAGTGCTATTAGTTTGTTTGTTGCGCTAGCACTGAGCTAATACATATAAGGCAAAATAGCGTCAGCACTAGTGCAAAGGCTAACAGGTTAAGCTGGGGTTCTTCCTCCATGAAGCAGCTCTGTTGTCCTCCATCCATATTTTCAGTTCCAGGCTGAGTCATTTCTACCTTCTCCTCTCTGTCAACGCTCTCTGGTTTCATTTAAAAGAGTCGATCGTCAGATATTGTCCAAGATTAACCTTCAGGGTGGATATAGTTCGCTAGCAGCCTCGCACCGAGGACCTATCCACATCATCCATTAACCAGAATGCTCTGTGTGTAAATAAAATGGCTCCGTATGTTAAAATATATTTAAAAAAATTACAAAACTGAACAGCCTACAGTATTTTTACAGTCTTTATTTTACAGTTAAAATAAATGTTTATCAAATAAAGTCTAATGTTACAACTAACCGTGGATCTCTTTAAAAAAAGTTGCAGAAAAACTTGTTTTGCTCTTGACATGTACAGCATTTCAGAAGATTTAACTCAAACACACAAATCAAATAAGGCAAGAAAAACGTGATCTGTTGTTTTAGAAGGCACTTGTCAAAACCCAAAGGTTTCAAGAGGATTTCCAGTCACCATTTTATCAGACTGGATCAAAAAGGATTTAGACCTAATGACTGGTTATGTAAAAATGTTGTTGAACACTTATTGTGTCAGCCTACATAAAACTAGGCTCTTAGTCAAATCGGACCTGAACTCTGAAGTCTGTGAGCTGCAGCAGCAGGTCCTGAAACATGTCACAGTCTGCAGCAGGCAGTTCAGAGGAGAGCACTAAACCCACGTAGGAACCAGGTGCCTCTGACAAGCTGTCAGGAAACATGAAGATCCCAGAGTTGGCCAGGAGCACTGGAGTGTCGGGCGTCAGTGGATACGTCCTATCACACGCCTGGAAAACAAAAAGAAAAACAAACAAACAGAAACATGATAAGGTAGGGCAAAATTTTCAAGGAGACTGATTTTGATTTTACTGATCAGCGTTTGCAACTGATTCAAATCCACACTTTCTTTGGGTGAAATAAGAGTTGAGTTGTAACTTATGCACCCAAAAGACCTCATGGTTTTTTTTTAAACCGATTCTTCTGTCAAGGCAGAAGAATATCTCGTTTCCTAGAAGGCACATTGCTTTGTTTTGTTTTTCTCTTTCAGACCTCTTTCAAAACAAAAGAAAAAAAGGAAGCAGTAGGTGCAAGACGCCAGTTTTCTGCTCGAACGTTAACACAAAAACAGACTTGTTACGGCATGGTGCCGCTGGTATGTCGCCTGACCCCAGCGAGGGCACAGGACCCCCGACTAGCAACACAACAGAATCGCAGAGTCATCTGTTAATGGGAACATTGTCTTACTAGGAAACAAAGCGGCGCCAGAACACAGAACCAGGCTCGTTGACTAGGAAGCGCAGARTCATGGGCTGCAGTGCAGAACAAAGCAGAGAATAATGCATGCTTTGCAGAGCTGCCAGAACATTTTTCTATTTTATATTGAATCAGTAATAATAATAATAATCAGAGGTATAAAAAGGACCAAGAATCAGAAGCACTAAGAATTATTACTAGAAAAAAATTACAGCCATCCATCGAATATATTGTTTCATGAATTGAAATGATTAAAATTCTATGATTTGGTCAATTATAATATTTTACTGTTAATGTACAGAGCTCATAAAGGTGTGTTAATAAATTTTGTTAAAAGACAGAGCTGTTATTATCTTAAGGGAATCGAAATGTTTGTGAAACCCTGGTTTCGTACGAGCCTGAAGG